AACGCAAGGGTAAGTCCAAAACCAGGAGATCCATCAGAACAAAGAATTAAAAACCACGAAGGCCAGGTCGGAACCGGCGGACGGGGAACAGGAACGGGAACGGGAACGGGAACGGGAACAGAGGTTAAAACCTTAACGGGACCAGGCGCTTCCAGGTCCCGGACTCGCACAATACGGAAATCAGAGCAGAGCCCGGAAGAGCGTCAGCGCCTGGCTTTTAAGGTGGGCAGGGAATGGGAAACAGGTGCAGAGAATGAAGTCTTAAGAGAAAGGGCTGGAGCACCCTTAAGGAGGGGGGACTAATATCGTGACACCCTCTTTGTGACACATTTTTTCTCTGCTTCCATTTCTGGACCTGAAATCACAAACATTTCAATAAATAATATCTGATTCAAAACTACCGCTGATCATTTTACAGTAGCAACAGCAGCACCCAGTCAGTCTGACCCACTTGGCTGGGTGCTAAGCTTCTGTAGGACGAGGTGGCCGGGATCCCCATGAGGACTCACAAGTAGGGGATGGTGTGGAAGAGAGGTGCAAAAGATAAATGTTAAGGAGAGAAGAGGCTTACATATAACATTAGGAGGTGTCATCAAGAATGATTAGGATTTAGTGCTGCTTAGGCTGTTTGAACTTGATGTTTGCCATTCACTAACTTGTGTTCCATATGGAGTTACTGAAGAGAAGCTGGGGTGGAGATCAAATTCCACTCTCACTCGTCTGTTGTCCAGTTCATTCAATCTCCCTGACTGAATGCAGAGCTGAGAGCATCTTCTCCCTCACCCTCCCTCCAGTCCAGTCTCCCTGTAAAGGCCCCATGTAACGGGAGCACCACCTAAATGACAGCGATGAGCTCTGACCAGCACTGTTATTCACTGTTATTCTCAGTTATTCTCACTGTTATGCTCCTGGGAGAAAGGAAGGTAAGTAAAGTAAGGCTGCTGGAATAGGTGTTAGAGGGGCCAGCAGGGAGCGCTCATCCTGCAGTCTGTGTGGGTCTTAATGCCCCAGTATAGTGACAGAGAAACTGTACTCTAAAAAGATGCTGTCTTTTGGACGAGATGTAAAACTTACCCCAGCATCCTAACTAAATTTCTCATTGGCCTTTACCAATCATGGCCTCCTAATAATCCCCATCTCTGAATTAGCTTCATCACACTGTTCTCCTCCCCACTGACAGCTGGTGTGGTGAGCATTCTGGCACACTATGGCTGCCATCGCATCAAGTAATGAGTTTTACATTTGTTCTGTAAGTACTTTATCAGAGATGTTCTGAACAATAACACATTAAAAGCTAACTTTATAATATTCATGTTTTAATGAAATATTAGTGCTATTTTTAACATTTCAAATAAACAGAGAATGTGGGAAACAGTCTCTAAACAATGAGAGATGAGTTAGGAAGTCTTAAAGTTTTAATCTTAGTCTTTAAAAGCAATAAATATCTAGTCAAAACAGATCATTAAGATCATTGGGACATATTTAGCTCTGCTTCCACTTTCCTTTATCAATATACTGACACTATTACATCTTCCATGTAATTGATGATACTTCACAGTTTCAGAGTGTCAACTCTAATTCCTGGTCCTGAATCTTCAAAAAAATCATGCCCTGATGACTACAGGCCAGACCAACTGCTCTAATCAAATTTTAGAATTTGATTAATAGGAAATATAATATGGAATCACGTATTTAAAGAAATTAATAATGATATAATTATATTCATGCACTGTAACACAAACAGTAATATATGTGTACGGCTGTTCCAGTAGTTATCATGTGACTGTCAGTGGTGTGATGGTTTAAGTGCCTGAATTATAAGTGAGAGGTTAGGTGCTCAAATCCAGCTATTGCCATGAGTTTTCTTTTAACAAACATTTCTTTGAAAAACTAAAATAGCAATAGCAAAATTATGGACACGCTATTGACTTTTTTATATTTCTAAATATCACAGCATGTCCGTAATGTATGTACACAGTGGTACTGCAGGGTGTAGGGTGCAAATCCACGTGAGCCCGAAAGCCCTACATTAATATTGTACGTTCGCCTGGCGCTGCATGGTTTTCACATCTCTCTCTCCCTCCCCCCCCCAGGAGTGCTGCCTGTGCTGAATTTCACTCCACTGTCTGAGTCTCTGTCTACATTGTTTGTAAACAAACCGGTTTCACAGGTATTTTCAAAGTAGAACAGGGCAAGTCTTCCAATGAAAGACACACACTCCACCTTCTCCCACAGACACAGATTTTTTACTGTTACTAAGCTAAAATATAAAAGATGCCAGATGGAAATACAGACAGATGCACTTACACCTAGGGCCAATTTGACCAGAATCCATTTAACCACCCTTCAATATATCTTTGGACTGATGGGTAGAAACCAGAGCCCCTGGAGGAAACCAAAGCAAACTATGCAATATTACAATTTTTCAGTTATTAAAACATGCGTTGCAAATCTAGCTCATACATACTCATGTCTGAAATTCATAGAAAGCTGACATTTCAATCTTTCATTTGCAATGTTTTGCACAAAATCAGCAGCTGAACAGCAGGCTGTGACATACCTTTATCCACTGCTTTTCAGAGCAGAAACATTAATGTTGGCAAGAGTTCTTCCCCTATGGTCTGCTGTACTTCAGCTAGCCACATTTTGGCTGTGCTGTGTGTACTCCTGGGAACCCTGGACCGTAATGAATATCAGGCAGTATGTAAAAATGAATAATGTGAGCATACTGTTTGAAGCCAGACACAAAGAATCACTTCTAAAGCTTCAATTTAACCTTTTGTGTCTGGTCTTGAAATGCTGTCCCATCACCCATCTTCTGACTTCTGGTTGTGTTAACAGATAAATGTATTGTTTTCTTTTTCCCATATGCTCTTCTCTGCATCATTAAGTACTTGTGGGTCATATCATGTACCTCATGGCATCTTGACTGGCAGGCAGCTGCAACAAAAAAGTAACATAAACAATAACATCTGCATATGATGGTGTTGAAGACAAAAACAAAAGAATTCAACAAATCTATACTTTACACTTTACTATAGCTTTTACATTACGACAATCTTGTCATATTTACAATCATCAATTGTTTTACTGATTGAATTGCTGAACTGATTATCTGGAGACGCTTGTTCCAGTGAACAAACAATGGCCTTTGTTTAAGAGACAACTTACATTTTTAACCATTCTTTTAAAGATAAACCTCTGAAAATGTTTTTAATTAAACTTCCAACTTCTTAATTATGTTATAAAATAGCTGAAAAATTATTTAGTCCTTCACCTATTCAGAAACGTTCACTAAAATGATTAAGGAATTGTTCTCTCAACTCATCTTCAATTCAATTCCATTTATTTTTATATAGCACCTTTCACAACAAGGATGCCCAAGGCGCTTAACAAAGCAAGTGACCAGACACGTTATGAATACAGAATAGAAAAGACCAGAAGACAACAGAGGAGAGGAACCAAAAACTCCTTACTAAGGAGAAAAAAAAACCTCTAGGGGTCAAAGGTCAACTGGCTGCCCAACCCCTTTGGGCATGCTAGCATTATACAATTAAAAAAAGGAATAAATTAATAAGGGTATTAATCCATCCATCATGTCATGTCATCTCCTCTCCTCTCAGGCAACATGGCTGAAGATGAGTGGTAGGCGGATTCTACAGAACAACAGAAGCACATTAATATGATTTTGATGAAGACACAATGAAAGAACAACTTCCAGAACTCCATTTGTTGCACTTTTCTATTGCTTTTACATGATCAGAAGGCTGAGGCTGCTTATCTGCTCCAATGCAGTAAATCCTTATGGAATGTATAAGACTCTGCTGGGAAGTGACACCTGTTAGAGTGAAAAATGTCCTTTGTGTAACAGACGGGTCTCTATTAAACAGAAATCACAGCTCAGTCATAGATACAAGCCACTATAGCTGATAATTGCCTCACAATTTCAAAATCAACTGTGTGTTCTGAATTAATATTTTTTTCAATTAAATTATCTACAACAGGTTATGGCTAAAATGAAAATAAAATGCAGACATTGTAGATTAGATCTACGGCATCTATTGAACTGCAATTAAAGTTCTAAAATATTCTTGTAAAGATAAGCCATTTAAAATGTCTTTTTATCAAATATCTAACTCTTAACAAGGTTTTGAAATATCTCTGTAGTCCAAAAACAATTGCTGTAGTCCTAAGCCTTTTCAGAAATCTTCACTTAAAGGATTAAGGAATTGTTATCTAGACTCATCTTGTAGGCTCTGTTCTTGGTGTCGTTCATGAAGTCCAGTCTGTCTCAGTCGATGTCTCTTCCCAAGCGGTTGCCCGTCTAATGCTGCTGGAAACTCCAGTGTTCGTTCTGGGAATGCTTCTTCTGACAATGAATATCGCCTTTGTCTGTAAACAATAAATTCATAAATCAATAATAACTGTAACACTTCATCTCAAAATGATTTGAGAGTTTGTTCAATTTAAACTGACCCAAAAGCAGATGTCTTACACTGAAAAAGATTCTTTGCATTGCTCTACTGATAATGAACTAATTTGAAAACTATGTTTTAAGTGGAGTGATCACTCTTCTGAAAAAGTCAACAGATTTTCAAAAGTGGTGACAATTAGACCTCTTAATTCCAAAACATTCAATAAGAACAAGAGCTGGGCACGAGTGGGATGACTAATCAGCCTCTATTCTCTTCTGAGCTTCATTTATCTACTTTTCTACTCTTATCCTCTTCTGGTGTCCTAGCTGTTGGAGAACGAGACATGTCATCTTCAAAACAATGACACAAGCAATACTGAGATGGTTTTCAAGTCACAAGAAGACACTATTTTTAATAGTTAAAAGAAAATATGTTCAACATATACAGGTATGTGCAAAGTATTTTCTGGAACTGGTCAGTTATCCAACCACTCCAGAGACTGTCCTTCACCCTAAAATGATTTCCATGAAACTCTGTAATCAAAGAGGAGCTCTTCTCCCTCAGCAATGTCCCTCTTCGATCTTCCGATCGTCTCCTTAGCCGTGAGACAGGTGCAATGTTCTTCACATGAATGCACATTTTTTGTGTAGGTCCATCAAAAAAGAACAGACATCTCATCTCTCCCTCTGCCATCTGTGCCTTTAGGGCTTCTGCAGCTGTCTTTGCGATGACCTCGCCATGGTAATCACACACCACCTCTCCTTTCTGGAAACGCCTGGAAGTCACAACCTTCTTCCCCTTCACTGGATCGTCAGTGATACTCAGGCCTCTCCAGGTTTGATGCTTTCCATCTTTTTAACTTGCCTTTCATTTGGTTGTGCATCTGTGTTGGGCTTCCACTTCTCAAGCACTTCAGACGCTGTTGGTGTATTTGCAGTCCAGCCCATGCTTTGAAAATAGTGGGTCACCTGGACTTCTGTTGGTAACAGTCTAGCGTAATGGTCTGGAATGAAAACCAGAACAGAAACCCTGAAAATTGATTCCAAAATCACTTTGTCTGTTTCTCTGTGAAAATAATTAATATGTAAACTTACCAATAATGTTCTGCAGTCTCATTTTCCTCTGATCTGATCTCCACCTGTCGTAACAGTGTCAGTCATGACTTCCAGTCAGTCTCAGGCGCTCTTTCTTTCTGGGAAGCTGCCCATCTAACGACACTGGAAACTCCCGTGTCAGCTCCTGGAAGGCTGTGGCATCATCCATCTTCGGATTTCCAGATCCTGCAGCTGCCACAGCGGATGTTGGTGTTGATCTGATGTAAAAGCGAATATTAGATCACAATAATCTCTGTAACACGTTGGCTGAAAATAACTGAAAGTGGTGTTTTCTCTTCCAGTTATACAGCAGATGTGCATACTGCAGCACTGAGTGGCGATTTCTCTCTTGATGTTTCAAAAGCATGAAGTAATTGCTGTTTTTGACACACAAATATTTTGTCATATATTCAGAACATGGTGAAACTTACTGAGCTCCCTCCTCTGCAACACCTTCAATGACTTCAATGGCTGAGCAGATGTTGTCATGTGTCAGCATCCTCTAGTGTTTCTCTGCAGTACCATCTGAGTGGGCCAGATAATCCGCCACGATGCTCTCCTGTGCATCTGTGAGCCTCTTTGTGGCCGTCTCAAATGCCCTCCTGGCAGCCTGGCTGGTGATGAATGAGAGGTGGTATCTACAAAACAAACACATACACACAGCGTATGATTGTTTCCAAGCCACAGACAGTTTGATTAATACATTAAAACAACTTTGTGATATGGTTTACTTCTCATGCAGTCTTCGCAAGTCATTGGAAGGATTTTAAATTGGCTCCCCACGGAAGAAGTGAAAAACATTTCAGTCTCTGTTCCACAGATGCTATCAGTGGCAGTACAGTGTAGTCTAGTGAATGTGAAACATCTGAAAAAACAGACAAAATGCATTTATTGTACTTTTCAACTATTGTTGAATGCCGAAGACAGATGTTGGCAATGAACTGGAGAGAGTATATCAGCGTAACTAGACTTACATGTTCTTCATTCAGGCAAAGCATGCCAGCAGCTGTGAGGAGGTTGTGTGTTTTGCCACTGCTATTATCGCCAGTTTTTACCCTCTTTTTGACACAAAATTCTTTCTCTGCATCCATTCCTGGACTTGAAATCACAAGCAATTCAATAAATAATATCTAATAATAATATCTGCCAATGATGATTTTACAGTAGCAACAACGGCACCCAGTAATGAAGTGTATGGAGAGTCTTGAGTATTTCAGTCAGTCAGTCTGACCCACTTGGCTGGGTGCTAAGCTTCTGTAGGACGAAGCGGCTGGGATCTCAATGAGGACTCACAAGTAGGGGATGGTGTGGAAGAGAGGTGCAAAAGATGAATGTGAAGGAGAGAAGGGGCTTACATATATCATGAGGAGGTGTCATCAAGAATCATCACAATTTAGTGCTGCTGTGGCTGTTTGAACCTGATGTTTGCTGTTCATTAACTCTTGTTCCATATGGAGTTACTGAAGAGAAGTTGGGGTGGAGATCAAATTCCACTCTCACACTTCCGCTCTCCAGTGCATTCAATCTGCTTGACTGAACACAGAGCTGAGAGCATCTTCTCCCTCACCCCTCCCTCCAGTCCAGTCTTCCTGTAAAGGCTCTAAGTAACAGGAGCGCCCCCTAAATGACAGTGATGAGCCCTGACCAGCACTGTTATTCTGTCTCTTTATAAACATCAGATCATTGTGTCATTGTTAGAATTTGACCAAACAACTGAAATATGCAAGACTGTTATTCTTACTGTTATATTCTTTATCACCCCTAGGTGATGCAGGTGCTTCAGCTGAATAATGGTCTGCAGGTAATACAGCACAAGAAGCTGCTCAGGCATGGTGATGTCTTCTGAGGTGTGCATCTTCTCCAGTTCCGCTCCACATCTCTCTTTGCAGCCCTCAGCACCTTCCAGCAGTCACTAGCGCTTGGCCCAGGACTCTGCAGCTGTCTGTATCTGTGGCAGAAGGAGTAGTACCATCAACATCAATTCCTGTCATGTACTGGAACCAGAAACCAACTGGAATCAGAGTTCCAAATGGAAAATACCTCTTTCTGATGATTTCCTGTGAGACATCCTTGCTGTTTTTTTGCTGAATGTCCTTTAGGATGCTCTGGAAGATGATGATGACGTTAGCTAGGCTTGGATCCTCCTGTCTTAGGTTGGTGGCATTCAGGATGTAGCACAGGAACCGGTTGCTGTTTTTGATGTAATTAGCAATGGTTTGGTGAGACAGTCCAGTCATCCTCAGTTGGTAAAAAAATTGCTCATTTTGGGAATGTCCTTCACAAACATCAAGAATGCTTCAGACGGATCCATAAAAAATAGGAATCTGGAAACGTTGTCTATCTAAAATAAAGTTTTTAGGGTTTATTTTTAGGG